AGTCTAAAATATATATAAAATAAACAGCAAGTAATAAGTCATTAGCAAAAAAAGTGATAAATATGCATTAAAATGATTTACAACATAACCACATTTATATAAGAATGTATCTTGTATCAAAGGGCAAATTTTAAGAATGCAAAACCACAATTTCTTGCACTAACACTATAACTTGCATTTTCCTAAGGACATAACATGTTGAATATCTTTTGCTTATATACATTTTGGAGAGTGGGAGTTTAGGTGTCTAATTCTTTGGCCTGTTTTTAAAATTTGGATTGTCTGGGGACCAGCAGTTAGCGTAATGACTATGTCACTGAACTCCCATGTAGTTGACCGCGGTTCGAGTCCCAGACCTGGTGGCTTAAACTCACGCTGGGAGCATGTGCATGCGTGCCCAAGATCCCAAGAGGAGAACAGAGGAGAAGGGATTGCGGCGTGGCCATTCCCCCCCCCCCGGGGGGTGATTTCTGGTTTTCTGTCTCTCTGTCCCTCTCTGTCTTTCTGGTAAGCATACACACCCTATAGCAAAAACCTCTCTTCTCCCCCCAAAAAAAGGATTGTCTGTTTTCTTATGTGTGAGTCTTGAGAGTTCTTTATATATTTATTTATATATCATATATGTGACTTGAAAGTTTTTCCCTTAATCTAAAAAACAAATAAGACTGTTCTCTTGGAAGTTTCTAATATTTTATAAGACAACATCATACTTGATTTCATTTTTATTTAGATGTAATTTTTTAAAATTTATATTCCTAGCTATAATACAAAATAAAAAATAAAAAGGTAATGAATTTACATTTGTGTAATTTCTGAGAAATGCAGAAATTCCAAACCAAAAATTTAGAAAAGGTTTCATTTTTCTGCCAACTATGTTGAGAACCTCAGTTTTATTATGTATTTCAACGAACAGTATGCATTGTTAAACTATATTTAGTGGTTGGTGAAATATTCTTACATGTTTTCTAAAAAACTGGTTAATTGCATATTTCATTTAAATCATTGTTTAGTATCAAATGAAACACTGGGAGTTTTTTTTTTTTTTTAAGAGAAATTTTTGCTGTAGGGTGAGTGAGCTCACCGGAGAGACAGACAGACAGAAAGAAAGAGATCACCCCCCAGGGGGGATGGCTATGCTATGTGATGCCTTCTCCATTCTCTTTTCAGGATTTTGGGCACGCATGCACACCTGCCCAACATGACTTTTAAGCTGCTGGTCCCAGACTCGAACTATGGTCCACTATGTGGGAGTCCAGCAACATAACCAGTAAGCCATCTGCTGGTCTCAAAGCACTTTTAACTTACACAATTTCAATGTATGATTAATTTGGACTTATTCTAATTATATTGAAAATTATTAAATTCACTCTTTGCAGCCATTTAAGTGTAGTTATCAGATGTGAAATTTAACAGTGTAGTCTCTGAGAAGACCCTCATTCACATTGAATAATCTAAAGATTCATAATAAATTTCATAGAGACCTAATGTTGTCAGAGAAAATATATAAAGTTTTAGAAATATTATTATAATAGTAGTTCTGGTTTTTTTTGTGGGGGGAGATTTTCGCTATAGGGCACGTGCACTCGCCAGACAGAGAGAGACATAGAGACAGAAAGTGAAAAATCACCCCCTAGGGGGGATGGTCACGCCGCAATCCCTTCTCCTCCATTCTCCTCTCGGGATCTTGGGCACGCACGCACACGCACCCGGCGTGAGTTTTAAGCCACCAGGTCCGGGACGTGAACTGCAGTTGACTACATGGGAGTCCAGCGACATAGCCGTTAAGCTAATTGCTGGTTCCCAATAGTAGTTCTTGATACCAAGTATTATGTTATAAAGCATTAAGGCAGTTTTTTGTTACTGACCAGAAGACTATAAATTAAGGTAAGGAGAGTGAAGGAAGCAGAATAGAAATTAACAAGAGGAACAGAAGCAGTGGTTCCAGGAGGGGGAAGCAGAGTTAATAAGAAAAAATGGAGGGTAAAATTGCTGCAAATATACACAGGGTGGAAGGACTGGTCCAGTAGGGTAGTGGTTAAGGAAGCCAAGTCTACACGGCCAGCAGTGGTTCAGATACTGGCTCCAGTGGCTTGAACACACATGAGGCTTGTGTGTGGGCGCCCCAGCTTCTAGCAGCTTGGAGAAATGGGAGAGAAGTGATTACAACATGACCATATCCCATTATGGGGTCTTTCCATCCTTCCTCTGTCTCTGCAAGCACATGTGCCCTTGGATAATTGAAGAAAACATGCATGAGTAAGCATTGAGCATCTGGAAGAGAGGAAAAGCCAGTCTCGGTCTGCCATGAAATAACCCAGCCTTGTGTTGGCTTAATATCCTCTTTGTGCTCTGGAGAATAAAGGTGAACCATAAAGAAGTCATCCAGAGACTAGTTTTTCATGTATAGTGTTGCTCATTCAATCCAAAATGATAGTGCATGTGAAGTGATAAGACAGAAAGATAAAAAGCCAAGGGAAAGAATGATAATAAAAGCAAAGTCATGAGTGTCCCAGATACTAGGATTATCAGAGAAGGGCTTTAAAACTTAAACTGATATATTGGAAAATAGTAGAAGGAGAACAGAAAATAGGTGAAAAGATGAAGAATTTTCCAAATAATTACAGTCGCAGAAAAGAAGCAATGGAAATTCTAGATCTGAAAAATACAATTAACTGATTTAAAAAAACGTATATTAGGTTGTGGGAACCAGCAGTTAGCGTAATGGCTATGTCGCTGGACTCCCACATAGTCGACCACGGTTTGTGTCCTGGACCCGGTGGCTTAAAACTCACGCCGGGCACATGTGCGTGCGTGCCCAAGATCCCGAGAGGAGAATGGAGGAGAAGCGATTGCGGTGTGACCATCCCCTCTGGGGGGTGATTTCTCGCTTTCTGTCTCTCTGTCTCTGTCTGTCTGGCGAGAGCATGCGCCCTGTAGCAAAAACCTCTCCCAAAAAAAAGTATGTTAGGTTGTCAGAAAAGTCATGACGTGTTTTGCATAGAAAAACATGTCATGACTTTTTGTGACAGCCTAATAGTTTTTATAGAATAATAGAAGTAGTAAAAGATTAGTGAATTTAAGACATTGATAGAAAATACCACAAAGAGAAAAACAGGAAAATACATGGGATACAACCTTTCTCAACCAGGATTCTTCGTTTTTCTGAGGATGGTACATGATTAGTTCTAGAATCATAGGAGAGAAATAATAGAGCATTAGGACTTAGTTCTTTTGTGGAATTCTGGTTAAAGAAGGCCAGGGTATATTTATCATTGGACTCTCAGGAAGAGAGGAGAAAGAATGGGACAAACAGCATTTGAAGAGATAATGTGAAATTTACAAAACTGATGAAGGCGATCAAGAAGCTTTGTTAAATTAAGAAGGTTAGATTTTTTAAAAATAAAGAAAAAAGACATATTTCAAACAACAGAAAACTAAAGACTAAGAAAACCTTAAAAGCAGCCAGAAAAGCAAGTACCACGAGAGAGAGAACGAAAGAGGAAATAATAAATTAAGGAAGGAAGAAAAATTAAATGGACAAAAGGTAAAATAAAAACATCTTTAGGTGAACAAAAACAGGAAACTTGTTGCCAACAGTCCTACACTGTTTGCAACAGCGAAAAATTCCTCCGTTTGTTAAAAAAGAAAAGAAAAGAAAAACAGTCTAAAATTAAAACATGGAAATGCAAGAAGTGAAGTGTGGCAGAGACATTAAATATGTGGTAATACAAATGAGTATTTACATATGAAACAATGATAGTACAACAGTGGAACTTAAGTTATATGTTGCATTAAAATGTATAAAAAGGAGTGAGACACATAACTGGAATTAATATTCCAAGATACTAGTATTGTCATGGAAGTAATCATAGTCCATACTAGTGTGTAATACCTGTGTAACCACTAAGAGAAAATAAGAGACATTGAAACCAATTAAACAGGGCAGGAAAATGGAAAAATGAAAGATAATTGATTCTTCATAGAGCAGTAAAGAATAAAAAGAGCAAAGAACAGAACAAATAGAGGGCAAATAGTAAGATACTAGATTTAATGCAAAGTAGATCAGAAATGTAAACTGATTAAATACTCCAGTATGAAGTCAGACTACATCAAAACAGTGCCCTATGACATGCTTTTTGTAAGAGACACACCTTATGCAGAACGATCAGTACAGTAAAACACAAAATGACAGGAAGAAATACACTGCATAAACATTAACAAAAAGCAGCTGTAACTAAGTTCTTATTAGACAAAAGAGACTTTAAAGCAAGAAGCATTATTAGAATTGAAGGGTATATGTCATATGATAAAGGAGTGACTGTACCACAAGTTTTAAAAAGTTGTAAAAGATGTTATGCAGAAATCGACAGAACAAAAAGTAGACAAATGTACAATCATAGTAGTTATCTTTACCAGTTGCTGATAGTATAAAAGACAAATTCAATGTTGGGACCAGCAGTTAGCGTAATGGCTATGTCACTGGACTCCCACATAGTCGACCGCGGTTCAAGTCTCGGACCCGGTGGCTTAAACTCATGCTGGGCGCGTGTGCGTGTGTGCCCAAGATCCTGAGAGGAGAATGGAGGAGAAGGGATTGCGGTGTGACCATCCCCTCTGGGGGGTGATTTCTCGCTTTCTATCTCTCTGTCTGTCTGTCTGGCGAGTGCACGCACCCTATAGCAAAAACCTCTCAAAAAAAAAAAATTCAGTGTGATGGAGATCTGAATAAGAGATAAAACTGTGACCTGAGTGACACATATAAACCACGTACCCTTCCGTGACCAAGTACACATTCTTTTCAAGTACGCGTGCATCATTCTTCATATGAGATTATGTATTTGAGCATAAAACAAGTCTCCACACACTAGGTGTAGTACCAATTGCCATTATCATGAATATTAATGTAAATGACTATATCTCTGCAGATCCTGGACATATCACTGTAGATCCTGCAAAAACAGTAGAGAGAATATTATAACTTTGTTTAAAAATGTTTGAAATTGGATGTGGAAGTATCATTCCTTTGGGAACAGAAATACATCCATCACATGCTACATTAAAAAAGTTCTCCGGGCTGCCAGCCTTACTGTAGAGGTCGAGTGGTAGTAAATTTCTACTACATAAAGGAAGACGATTTTTGGAAAATAATATACACGGTACAAACTCCTAGAATAATACAAAAAAATTGAAATGAGAAAAAAATCACTTTAATAGTTGTGTATTTATTACTAAAAGCATCGAATCTAAATTAAGAATTTGTTTTACAAAGAAACCTCCAGGCTTGGGTGATTCTAGACTTACTCAAACTCTCTCAGAATATCAAAAAAGAATAAGCACTTTTCAGCTTGTTTTATTAAACCCGTTGTAAGTTGATACTAAAGCCTGAGAAGGAAAAGAAAAGAAATGGCAGGCCTGTTGCTATCTTAGCAACGTAAGTGCAGGAGCTCTGTGCACAACATTCTTGTCAGATCCAGCTACATATGAGAAGGATAAGTCATCATGACACATCAACTTTCCAAGTATACAAAATTTGTTACGTATTCACAAATCAATAAATCTAGTTTAGCCCATTAACAGAACAGGAAAGTTTTTTCTCTCAGTAGATGGAGAAAAAGTACTTGATGATATTTAATATCTTTTTCTGATTAAAACATAGTAAGCTCTTAGTTAAATAGAACTAATAGGAAACTTCCTTACCTTAATAGTATATTAAATGCCTGTAGTAACTATCAGAATACTTAATGGTGAGATATTGAAAGGCTTTTCCCCAAGCCTCGGAGTGAGACAATGATGCCTGGTATCGCTACTTCCATTCGACATTGTATTAGAGATCGTAGCCAGTTAACGCCAAAACAGAGAAATGAAAGGGAAGAAGCTACCATTTAAAATGATTATGTATACATAGAAAGTAATTTCTAGTGAATTCATCAAGGTCACCACTGTATACAAGGTTAGTATGCAACAATTAATTGTAGTTTTATTTATATAATCTGAGCATCTCTAATTCAGAACTCTGAAATATGAAATGTTTCAAAATCTGAAACGTTGAGTGCCAGCCTGACACAGGTGAAAAACCCTACACCTTACTCTATACAAAATTACTATATAAAAACTACCTTCAGATGATATGTATGAAGTATATATGAAATGCAAGTGAATTTCATGTTTAGATTTGGGTCCCATTCCCAGGCTGTCTCATGTACATGCAGATAGTCTAAAATCTGGAAGAAAAAAAATCTGAAATCTGGAACACTTCAGATAAGGGATACTCAATTCATATCAACAAGTAGAAAATGGAAACTTTAACATGCCACTTAAAATAGAAAAAATACCAAATAGCAGACCAGCAGATGGTTTAGTGGCTATGTCACTGGACTCCCATGTAGTTGACTATGGTTCGAGTCCCAGACCTGGTGGCTTAAAACTCAGGCTAGGTGCGTGTGCGGGCATGCCAAAAATCCCTAGAGGAGAATGGAGGAGAAGGGATTGCAGGCCATCCCCCTGGGAGGTGATTTCTCACTTTCTGTATCTCTCTCCCTCTCCAGCAAGTGCATGGGCCCTATAGCAAAAATCTCTCTTTAAAAAATAACAAATAACTAGGAATAAATCTGACAAGTATTTGTGACTGCCATTATGAACATTTTTATCTGCCACAGGATTTGTACACTCAACAGAAAAGGCACGCCCCAGTGGGGCGTGGTCACAGTCAGTCCTCCTCTTCCATTTCTCCATCCTGTCAGGATTCTGGGCGCATATACACATGTGCATTTGAAATCTGCCCAGGCTGAGATTCAAACTACAGTTAGCTGTGTGGGATTGGGTTCCACTAAGTACTAACCCATGGGACTTCCCCGACACATTTTCTCTACATGTGCTATAATGTGCACATGCACAAGAGAGAAAAACACTTCTGTAGGATCTGGTCATGTCATGATTCCCTTCCTCTGGTCTAAATCACTTGATTTACAGTAAAGAGGGCATGGTTGATGGGCCAGCCAAATTGTGTGGAAGTTAAGGCAGCTGGATTCTACACGACTAGCTACACAGTTCAAGTCCCAGTCTCAGTGACTTGAAAAATCATGGGTGTTTGCCCAAATTCCTGAGAGAGATTAGCGGAGAAAGCGTATGGCATAACCATCTTCCCTGGGATGTGATTTTTCACTTTCACGTTTTCTGTGGTGAGCACATGTGCTCTATGGCAAATTAAAATAATAACAATAATATAACTTTTATTACAAAATGTTAGAAGATATTATAACTTTAGTACAGGGAAATCCCTTAAACAGGAAGTAGAAAATCCTCATTATAATGAACAAAAATTGATAAATGGGTTTGCATTAACATTAAGGCCCTCTGTTGGGACCAGCAGTTGGTGTAATGGCTATGTCACTGCACTCCCATGTAGACCGCAGTTCAAGTCCCGGACCACGCCAGGTGTGTGTGCACGTGCGTGCCCAAGATCCCAAGAGGAGAAGGGATTGAGACATGGCCATCCCCCGGGGGGGTGATTGCTCGCTTTCTGTCTCTTTCTGGTGAGCGCACACACCCTATAGCAAAAACCTCTCCGGGTGGGGCGGGGGGGAAATTAAGGCCCTCTGTTTATTGAAGGCACCATTAAGAAAAGTGGGCAGAATGTTTGACCAGACACTTCTCATACACACGAAGACTAACCAGATGGTCCGTTAAACACATGAAAAGTCACTCACCATCACTAGCAGGAAAATTACTTAAAGTTACAATTTGATACCACTTGCACACATGCCCCAGAATGCCTAAAATTTAAAAAGCACATGCGATACAAAGTATGCATAAGGGTGTGGAGCAAGGAAGCTCATGCTGCTAGCGGGTATGTAAATTGCCTCATCCACTTGGGCAAAACTACCAAGACTGACCTCACAATCTCCCATTTCCACTATATGCTCTACATAATTGTGTGTTCTCACCAAAAGACATATACCAAAATGTTAAAGCAGTGTTGTTAGTAATTACCAAAACTTGGGAACAACCCAGATCCCATCAGTAGTTAAATGAGTAAGTTGTGGTATATTCATATGATGAGGTACTAGGTCCATGTTGTGAACAAATCTCAAATGCATAACAAAGATTTTCTACTGAATGACTCCATCCAAGTGAAGTTCATAAACAAGGCAACATTAATTATGCTAGAAATCAGGATAGTGATCACTGATGGAGAAAAGACGAGGGTGTTGTGCAGTATTCATAATACTCTGTCACACTGCAGTTAGAGACCTGGACCCAGTGACCTGAATAACATAGCGCGTTCGTGTGCGTGTCCAGAATACCAAGAGGAGAGTGGAGAAGGATTTGCACCATGGCCATCCCTCCTGGGGGGTGATTTCTCTTTCCGTCCTTCTCTGGCCAGTGCACATGTCCTATGGCAAAAATTTTAAAAACAAATAACAATAATAATGCCCCATGTCTTGATCAGGATGCTAAATCACACAGGTGTATTCACTTTAGGAAAATTCTGCAGACCTCATTTAAGGCTACATACTTCTCTGGGTATATTACATTTTGTAAGTTTATTTTAAAAATACGGTGAAGGTATCTTCTGTGTATTTTTTATATGTTTCTAATTTTCCACAGCAGAAAGCTATTGGGTCGCCAGAAAAGTTGTGATGCATTTTTGCATAGAAAAGCATATCCTGGCTTTTCCAGAGATCCAGTAATTACAAGGAGAAACTGTTCTTCGGCATTGAAAGTCTGGATAGTGGTTATCTTTTGAGAAGTTTGTATCAGGTGGGACTTAGAGGGGTGCTTAGGGGGTGCTAATAATTTCTATTTCTGAATTTTTGTGGGCACTGGTTACGTGAGTTGGTGGACTTTGGAAAAATTATTTTCTCGTGACTGTTAGACTCCAAAGTTTATGTGATTTTAATAAGTAAATATAAGGAAGAAATAAATAATAGGAAGGGTCAGATGAAGTAAAATTTGTCTGGTATGTGAGGTATTCAAAAAGTTCGTGGAAATTTGTAACCTGAATAAAGTGTATGAATGTTTTTTTAAAAAAATGCACCAAAATAAGCTCATGTTTTAAACCCATTTTTCAACAAACTTTTTGAAGACCTCTTGCTGATAATTATTGAAGCTGGATGATAGATACATGAAGACTCTCTTTTCTTCTTTGTGTATGCTTGAAAAGACCCATAATACTGAAGATACATTATAGGGACAGAAAGCAGATAATTGGTTACCTAGAAAAGAGAGGCGGGAATGACAGAGGTGGAAAGGTTATAGAGAGTAGCAGGAAATTTTGTTTTTTTAAAGAACTATTTATTCATATTTATTCCATTTGTTATTACTGGTTTTTTTTTTTTTTTTTCTTTTTTCAATTTCACCAGAGAGAAGAAGGGAAAGCAAGAAAGCAAGCCGCCAGGTTTGGGACTCAAACTGTGGAGGGCCATGTGGGAATCTAGCGCCTTAAACCACCAGGCCACCTGCCAGCCCCAGTAACAGGAAGTTTCATAGATTTAGATTGTCTTGATTGTGATGCTTTCCAAAGTATATTCATTTTGAAAACCAAATAGACAAATGTTGTACAGTAATCAGATAACTTGGGTTCCGGCCATTCTAACTGCTGTCAGTTTCCTGAAGATCAGATACTGGCAAGCACTTACTGCTTACTAAGTGAGTTAATAAAGGACTGGGGGTACCACTTGGCATTCTGTTGGCCCACACTTAATATTTTCCTCCCCATAGAAAGTAATGAGCATTGCCTAGTTTCTTATAGGTAAGAAAGCATATACATGTAATCAGAGGGTCCACAGTTTAGGGCTGCCTTTAGATAAACTGAGGTAAATTAATGTGGCACTGAAGTGACTTTTCTGGACTTGAAAGGTTCATTACTCGGCCTGGTTATTAGCAACAAGACCTTAAGCAAAAAGTTTTACTTCATAAATGGGGATAGTTTACTCCTCCCTCAAGTTTTATCAAGACATAATTGACAAAAATTACATATATTTAAGGTGCGTGATGTTTTATGTGCATTGTGAAGTGGTGAATCAAACACATCCATCAGCTCACATAGTTACCTTTTTTTGTTGTAAGAATGCTTAATATCTAGTCTCTTGGGGCCAGCAGGTGGCATGGTGGTTAAGGGACAG